CATTGATATCAGCTGTATCCTTTAGGTGCAGGGAAGTTGTACATGTGGATCCCCTGCAGAAGAGTTCTCTGTGTGGCCTTGGATGTACCTTGTTTGCCCCTTTTGTTGCTTGTAGTTATCAAGAATAACTTTATAATGGGGAAAAAAAAGAATAACTTTAGAATGTTCTAAGAAGGCAATCTTTGAAAATAAGAGAGAACTGATTGGAAAAGTTCAGGCTTTATTTCAGTCCCTTTCTAGAACCAGAACGTCTTCTGGCAGGTACTGGAGGCATGTAAACCCCAGGGTGGTCTGCTTTGGCGGGGTCCCTTAGCTGGAGTGCAAGTGTGGCACACATATTCCTAGCTGCATCCATTCCAAGCAGATTTCTTGAGTCTTGTGGCACCAGTTCACCATGAATCTTAGGCTTCTGTTTCTCTTTAAGTCTGCTCCATGTAACAGTCTGCTTTACTCAAAGTGCACCAACCAAAATGTTAACTGCAGCTAAAGGATAACTTCATAGCACCTTCCAGGCTAGTATTTGACTGAACTACTGGATAGCATTTCCTGGGCAAATTGGCATGTTAATTCACCATCAAGATGCTTAACTTCCTGCTGTCTCTATTTTCTCATTTGTAAAAACTGAAGACAGAACAGTTTCCTCTTAAAAGATTGCTGTGACAATTAAACAAGTTAACATATGTAAAGCTCTTAAAGCAGAGCCCAGTTATAAGATGTACTATGTGTTAGTTATTACTTTTACAATCATCATAATTTTGGAAACTATGTTTCTTAGTTACTTTTCTCCTTGCTCAGACAAAATACCTGAAATCCAAAGTTAACGCTCAGTAGTTCTGCTGCCTACCTCACAAGCTCAAGGATCCAAGTTCGACCCCTGTTTTAAAAAAATAATAATAATTTTAGTAACTAAAAGTTAAAGGAGGAAAGCTTTATTTAGCTCACAGTTTGTAGAAGTTTTAGTCCATAATCGCCTGGGTGGATGGCAAACAGGCATCAGAGAAAAAAGAGTTCATAGTGGGCAGAAGGTAGCAAAGCAACAAGGGATGACCACAGCTCTTTGTATCCCTTATATCTTATCCAGGCTACTTAGGGCAGGTAGCACTCACACCCTTAATCCTTGTGTCTCTGATCCTAGAATTGCACCATGAATCAATTCCAGATTCACACACTCTAGACTCAGTCACCCTTGAAAAACCCCACCTAGGACTGCATGAGGCTTTGTGAAGGACATCGAGACACAAGCCATAACACTATGTGTTTTTTTTTTCCAGCTATTTGCAACTGTGACTAACTTTTCCTTCCTAGATCACCTCAGAGTTGATGTCCAAGGCCATCATTGTCCACCACGCACTCATGGGCTCCTCTTGCATCCCAGCCTCCTTGAAGTTAAGTTGGGGCCAAGTGCCTGAGTTCTGCTGAAGGCAAGTGGTTTAAGAAGTGAGACATGAGGGCCGGGGATTTAGGTCAGTGGTTCAGTGGCCTGCCTTGCAAGCACAAGGACCCAAGTTCAATCCCTGGTACCAAAAAAAAAAAAAAAAAA